CCTCTGAAATCCTTGGAGGTTTGTGAACCCAATTGTGATTGTCTTTCCAAGAAATAAATCTGACCCAGTGCAGAATCTGAATAACATAGAAAGGCGCTGGGGGTTAGACTCTGATATATGTATATACGTATCGTTGAATGTCCTTCTCTTGAGCATTCATGCTGGAAGGAAAGGCGAGGACTTACATTATCTTTCTTGTTGTTGGATGCAGATTTTCATAGACAACATTCATGTCCTCCAGCTCGTTACTGATGGGCCTGAGAATGGATGCCCATTGTTCAATCACGTATGCAGGTTCCTGAATCATCTTCTTATGTGCCAGTTCTTGTAGAATTTTCTTGAAGTTGTAGACTGTAGGTATTTTCCTGCAACTATGAACTTAAACAGCTGTCTGTCTTGGTCAGCATCACTGAAATTTGAAAGGCAGCTTTCTAAGGTCATGCGCTCTGAGTCAGGGATATATTTTAGAAAGTTGCTAAGGATATCACTTCTCACTCCTCCAAAAGCTGCTTGTTCTAAAACTACAGGAGCAATTTTTATGGGCAAGTATCTCTCCCTCTGTCAACCAAATGCAATAATTCGGCCAACACTTTCCCAGTGTTGCTCTCCAAAATCATGGCGAAATCATGAAAGAATTGCCCAGTGTACACTGGTCATAAAATTCTGCCCAAAATTCAGAGAGTCTCTAAAAACACCCCCTTCATCTTGTCCCCTCTCTTGTCTTCCATCTGGGAGCACCAGCTGTGTCTGAACATCAGCCCTCAAAAGACTTTCATCATAAAAATGTTTGATAAGTTCTAGAAATACCTGGCCACGGTGTACAACTATGGTTGTCTTCTTTAATGCACTGTTTGGCATATTCAGTTCTCCCTCAAGTATGTGATTATATTGTTTTCATCAGTAATATCAGCCACATAGCCAGAACTGCCCTCAGCTAGACTTGTGACCACTATGTCTTCAGTGGATGAAGAGAATGATGGTATCATCAAGTTAAAAGTTTCATGGCTGCTTCCCATAAAAAATCACTTCAGATCCATCTACAGATTCAGAGGTCAGGTCAGGTGGAATGTCAGCAGAAGAAAAATGGCCCTGTACAGCTTCCTGCCTCTCCAGTGGTGCTACACTGTTGGTTCTTTGATAGCTGAGTGTTTTTTTTTGCGTTGATAAGTAGAATCTCATGACAGGCAACTTTGTGTCAGCATAGAGTTGTCCTACTGTTGTTTCAGTATCCATTGACCGTTCTCGGTAATCCATGAGATCAAGCTGAAAATCACATGTATTTCCCTGACAATTTTGACCTCCTGGAAAAAACAGCTCTAGTGCCAGTTGGGTTAATTCCTTCTTGGTCCAGTCTTTTCCAACATTGACTTTCCGTGTACCTCCTCCTTTTCTTGCATGTACTTGTTTGAAACACTGTTCTCCTGCATCAAATAGCATCCAGCCCAATTCTATTTTTCTAACACTCTTCTCTGCATTACATAAGAACATAAGAAATTTACAAACGAGAGGAGGCCATTCGGCCCATCAAGCTCATTTGGGGAGAACTTAGCTAATAGCTCAGAGTTGTTAAAATCTTATCTAGCTCTGATTTAAAGGAACCCATGGTTTTAGCTTCAAATCCAATTTGTTCTCCCGCTAATTTCCACCTATGGCCACGAGTTCTTGTATTTGAACTAA